GCCTTCTCGAGGAGGTCGACGGTGAGGGTGGTGGGACAGACTGCGAGAAAGTGGTCCCTGACGACTCGAAGGGAGTCAGGGAGGCGCGCGACTACGTAGTAGAGAGCGATGTACATGGGGGGGGGGTTCTTAGCGCAGAACTCAGCAGGAAGGGCGGCGCGGTAGCGAGTGTCACTAGTGCGGAGGTGCGTAATGAGGTCAGCGACAGTGGGAAAGGCAGAGAGGTCAGGAAAGAGGTAGGGAAGCATGAGACGGCTCAGTGCAGCAGTGGCAGGGGAGGAGTAGCGCGCAACTACAGCGTCGTACAAGGTCTGAGCACTCTTGTACTGACTGAAGTGCGCACGCTCAGAGGTAGGGAGGTGGCGACGCACAGCAAGACGTGCAGCAGCATCGCGGGTGGCCCACTTAGAGCGGACAGCGGGATCAGCATCAGCAGCAGGAGCAGGAGAGGCGCCAGAGGTGAGATCAAAGAGAGAAAGGTCGTCAGCCCTGTCGCACTGTAAGAACAGCTGCAGGTCGTCTAACCAGACCTCAAAATCAATGGCGCGACCCTCAGCGTCAAAAGCTAGGACACTAGGGGTAGCCATGGTGACGACAGCAACGCAGTGCAAGCAGTAGGGAGAGAGCTCGCAGTGTCAGTGGGACTGTGCTCACCAGGCAGGGCAGGTCGTGTAGGTATGCAGAAAGGCGGCTCAGCGACTTGGCGGCTCGGGTGCTGGGCGGCTCGGCTGCTGGGCGGCTCGGGCGCAGGGCGGCTCGGCTCCCGGGCGGCTCGACGGCTGGGCGGTTCGGGTGCAGGGCGGGTCAGGCGCAGGGTCGGCTGCGGCTGGGCGGCTCGGCTGCGGCTGGGCGGCTCGGCGGCTCCTGGGCGGCTCGGCTGCTCCCGGGCGGCTCGGCGGCTCCGGGCGGCTCGGTTGCTCCGGGCGGCTCGGCTGCTGCTGGGGCCGTGTAGGTAGGGCGGCTGGGCCGCGAAGGTAGGGCGGCGGGCGGGCCGCTGATAGGGCGGCAGGTGGGCCGCAGGTAGGGCGGCGGCTGGCCGCAAGTAGGGCGGCGAAGGGCCGCGGGTAGGGCGGCGAAGGGCCGCGGGTAGGGCGGCGGGTGGGCCGCAGATGAGGCGGCGTAGGGCCGCAGGTAGGGCGGCGGGACGGCCGCTGGTAGGGCGGTGGTCGGGCCGCAGAAAGGCGGCGGGGCCGCGAAGGGATGGCGGGGCCGCGTCGAAGTGGCGGGGCCGCGACTGGGCGGTGGGGCCGCGATCAGAACGGGCGGCGGGGCCGCGACTGGGCGGCGGGGCCGCGACTGGGTGGCGGGGCCGCGACTGAGTGGCGGGGCCGCGCGAGGGGGTGGCGGGGCCGCGTCTGAAGGGCGGCGGGGCCGCAAGGGGACAGGGCGACTCGGAGGGTCACAAAAAAAAAGGAATCGCGCGCCTCGGGGCGCGCTTCGGTGGGCCCTAGGCGAAGTTCCCACAGGGAACCTGCTCTTATACCATGTGAAACTGAAGAACAGGAATGAAATGACTAAGGAAAGATTGGGTACAAATACAACCCTAGAAACCCCGTACCCCATATGTGCTACCCCACTATAGCCTACAGCAACTATGTCATATAAATCTGACACAGTCAACTTCGTTATGTCGGGGATGAATCGGCGCACGTAGTTGACGAACTCCAAAAAACTCTGCAGCTCTGTCAAGTTTGTCGGCACCTGCCATGCTTCTTGAATCGCTGCGACCTTCTTCGGGTCTATTTCCACTCCATCAGCTGAAATAATGTGTCTTAAAAAACTCTAGTCTGTCTTGGAAAAGCTCACACTTAGAGGCTTTTGTCAGTAGGCGGTTCTCACTCAGGATTTTAAAAACTGCTTCAATGTCCTGCATGTGCTGTGCACGGTCGGGGTTGTGAATCAGTATGTCGTCTAAGTGCACAATGACGCACTTATCTAAGAGCGGGCGGAAGGCTTCGTTCATGGTCATTTGAAAAGTGGCGGGGGCGTTGGTCAGTCCGAATGGCATGACGGTGTATTCGAAGGATCCGTAGCGTGTACGAAAAGTTGTTTTCGGGCAGTCGGGTGGGTTGACGCGGATCTGGTGGTAAGCTTTGAAAAAACCCGGGCTGTGCGTAGTTGGTCGATCTGTTCGTCGGCTCGTGGTATGGGGTAACGGGACTTGATGGTAACTCTGTTCAGTGCGCGGTAATCGATGCACATGCAAAAACCCCCATCTTTTTTCGGTGTGAACAGTATCAGTGCTGCGGAGGGTGACAAACTCGGGCGAATGAACTCTTTCTCGAGCAGGTAATCCAGCTGCTTCCTCAGTTCATCCAGTTCGGATTGGGTCAGTCGGAATTGTCGCTACTCGGTCAGCTGTACCCCCGGTTCTAACTCTATCCTATGATCGTGCGGTTGCTGAGGTGGCAGTCCTGTCGGCAGATCGTCCGGAAAAGTCCCATTGTACTGCTTCAGGAGTGCTGCCAAGTCCGGTATGCCAACTAGCAGTTTCTGTAAATCCCCCCCTTTGTCTGCTGCCTCGTCTTCCCGAATGTCGACCGCGTATTATCATGATTGCGTTGACACGCACCGACGAAGACTCAGACGAGCCCCAGCGAGGTAAGGCGATGTTACCGTTCACTCGCACAGCCGATTCGCGGATTGCGTCATCGCAGCCAATCACGGCCCAGTAAAATGTCAGTTCCGTGTAGGGTTGTCGCGTACATTTCCTACCTAAGCGTGAAATTACCCCCGCATCAAATACGAACTCGGACCACGCGTTCCGTATCGCCAGTAGCGTGCCGTCAACTAGTCTTGCGTCGATCTCAGGTAAACATCTGTCTAGTGGCAGTTTCAGCTTCCGTGGTGTGGCAATGTTGATCACGCTGTGGCTGGCTCCCATGTCTACGAATATTTGAAGTAAGTCTGTCCCAATTTTTGGTGAGGTTCGGTTGGGTTGGGCGAGCGGCGTGGCCTGTCAGTAGAGGGCCCGTCTGCTACTGACTCCCAGCGTTTCCCTGCTGCTTGGTCTGTTTCTGCTGCTCAGCTTCCTCCTTTCCCTTTGCGTTTTCCGGCATTCGCTTTTGCGATGTCCCGGCCAATTGCACGCAAAGCAGCACCCTTTAAACGGTGCGGCAGCGGCATTCGCGGCGACGTCTTATATCATAGCGCCCTCGTTCGTCCCACGAGACCGATATCCCCAGTTGCTGCTACTTCCGTAGGATCCCAATCTCAGCCGGCGGAAGAAATCGAGTTTCTCCGCCATAGCGAGAACCTCCTGAAAGTCGGTGACGCCGCGGAGCTGGATTTCCTGAGCAATTTCGTGCTTCAGGCCGCCGATGTAGTGGTCAATACGCTCACTTTCGTGCATGTAGCCTACCTGCTCACACAATGTCAGAAACTCGCTGGTGTAATCTTGGATGGAACCGAGTTAGCGCCCAGTGCGGCCCTTCTGACGCATCGCGATCGAAGCAGCATTTGGCTCAAATCGAACGCGCAGACCTGCGCACCTCGCATCCGACGTGCGATGTTGGGGCACCTCCACGAAATACGACGGCGCCCAGGGTCCGGTTTTTCCTTCCCGTGTCGGTAGAGTCGCGTAGTCCGTCGGCTTCATGACGATGACGCGCCACCAATCCATGGTGGGTCCTCGCAGCAGTGACACGGCGTAGCGAATTTTCGTCGTATCCTCCGAGACGTAGTTGGCGTCGAAGAAAACGTTCAACTTCAACAGCCACGCCTGAACGGTAGGACCACCCCGTTGACTCGGGTTAAAGCATGACGGACGCTGCGGCTTCAGTGGCATCGGCGACGACAGTGTTGATTCGCCGGCCGGCACAGAAATCGTGACGCGTGGTTGACTCCTGGCCGCATTCGTCGCTTCGGGGTGTGTCGTGACATGGTCGTCGTCTCCGTCGTTGCGGACGATGCCATCATTGGCCACGCTCGCAGCTTGCCCCACATTTCCGTGCTGCAATGAATGTTGTGCAGGTTGTCCCGGAGTGCCAGGTGCTTGCGATTGTGCTTGCTGTGCTCGTGCGATGTCATTCTGCCGAGACGTGCGTTCTGCCGTCAGCGCTGCAATTTCTTCAGAGTTCTCTTGGAGTTGCTGCAGCAGCGCAGTCAAACGTTCCTGCGTAAGCGTTATGACGTCGATATGTTCGGCCATGGCGAAGGGCGTCGGCTTAGCTTAGTCTATGCGCAATCGTGGCTGCACGCGTTTACGAGAGAACGCGATGACAGCGGCTCCTAAGGGCTAAGGGGCGTGAGTCCCTTCGAGTGAAAGATCAAAAGTTGAGTTCCTGGGGTGCGGAGATGCGCGGTCCGAAAGAAAGTGGCTCTGATAACCAAGTGTTACGAGTGTAATGGAACGAGGTAGCGAGGGTTGCACTAAATTGTTCAATGAGTACAAAGTATGAGCGAAGGCATGAGCGAATACTTATACGCGAAACATGCAAACGCTAACGAGGTGCGTGCGAGCTAGCTAGTGCTACGTTGGCGTCAGGTTCGAACTAGTCCCGAAGCGTATGCCGACTCGGTTTGGCCAGCAGTGCGAGGTTGGCGAAGCCCCGCAGCAAGAACGGGCGAACAACAGCTGCTGCTGTACGCGATGTTGACGGTCGCGGTAAGGAATGTCGACAAAATTCCTTACAGACCCGTTCATAACCAGGAAAGTGTTTTGTATTAGTTGAAGACATAAATATGGCGGAAATGAGGTGTACTTAGATGCAGAAAATTTATAAGCAGTCAGTGATGATGGGTGTGTGTCATAGAATCTCGACTCGACCACGGAAGGTTTGAGGTAATCAGGATCGTTGTAGCACGGTCAAGGAATCACAGGGTAGTTGCGATGGGTGCATGTGGAGATTTCCGTGCTCGTTCATGTGCCTCTTGCGCGACGCTTTGATCGGTTAGTCGATTTTATTAAGCACACGTGTGCTTGTCAATCTATTCCTTTCCAACACTAGGGTTTCATGGACTAGCAGGAATCCCCCCTTCATTCCGAGTCAATACTGCGAATGGCGCGGGAGCGACTGACGCGGCGGGCGGTGGGCGCGATGGTGCTGGCGACGGTGCTCATCGGGGCGGCAGTGGCGCTGTGGGGTCGCGATCGCCGCGACGGGGAGGGGCTGCAGCGCCTGCTGGCGGAGCAGCAGCGCTTCCAGCAGACCTTCCTCGCGCAGCTTGACGACCACGTGGCATCGGTAGGTCACGTGGTCAGTCTTATCCGTCTTTTTCTTGCTCGTTCTGCATCCCCGCACACTCCGCACCCATGCACACCCATGCACCTCACCCATCTGCCACTTGCTCGTGTGCATCACCTCCTCTCCTCTTCGCCTCACTCTCCCAATGCTCTATCCGTTTCGCGTTCTTCCCCCCCCTCCCGCGTCTCCTCACCTCACCAACGCATGCCCTCCCCCGCGCCGATTCTGTCCGCCCTCCCCCTCTCCGCCCCTCAGGTGCATCCCGCGGTGGCGGCGCTCTCCAACAGCGTCGCTCCGCGCGCGGCGCACGCGGGCGCAGTAGCAGTGCGCGCGGGGCACCGCGGAGCAACACATCTGTGCGCGTACAGCGAGGATCAGCTAGCGGAGGCGCTGCAGCGCGCGCACCACTGCGCCATGGGCGAGGCACGGTACTATCTGGGCGGCGTGTGGATGGACTGGGGGCTGCTGGAGCGCGAGGTGTCTCGCGACAACGACCCCGCGCGCCTCTCCTGCGTGCTCGCCTGCTCTCTCCGCCGCGACCTCGGCTGCCTCCCCCATCTGCCCTGCCTGCACGCCCTCTGGCTCCGCCACCTCAAGGAAGGTGCGCCCTCTGGCTCCGCCACCTCAAGGAAGGAGGGGGGGCCTGGCAGTACAGAGGGGGGGCCTGGCAGTACAGAAGGGGGGGGGCGGGAAGGGGTGTGGGAAAGGGAGGGACCTGATAGTTGTTAGATATGCAGAAGTGATGGTGAGGAGGAAGGGGATGCGAGAGGGGGGGCGAAGGAGTATGCAAGCTTCCCCTACCCGTCTTCTCGCTCTCCCACTGTGCTCGTGCTGCTCTGCCATCGCATGCAAGTTCCGTTGGCACAACCCCTCGGCACAGCACCCCTGCCATCGCCACACATGCCATCACCACCTGGCGTCCTTCACTCACTGCCCCGCTCCGCACCTCCCTGCATTCCGTCTTTCTCCCCTCCCCCCATTCTCCCACTTTCCTCTCCCCCGCTTTCCCCTACTTCCCCCCGCCCCCCACCTGGCCCCCTCCCCCCATGGCAGACGTGGCAGCGCTGCACCAGTTCTATGAGAAGGACGCAGCGCTGCCAGTGCTGCGCGCCGACCCCACTCTGCTCGCCATCCTCGACGCCGGCGCTGGCGTGGGCGTGCTCTCTCTGCTGCTCGCTGCCTTGTGAGTGCTGCTGTGGGTGCTGGCTTGGGAGGATGGGCATGGGTTGAGAGGATGGAGAGGATGGGCACGGATTTAGAGGATGGGCATGGGTTGAGTGGATGGGCATGGGTTGAGTGGATGGGCATGGGTTGAGAGGATGGGCACAGGTTGAGTGGATGGGCATGGGTTGAGAGGATGGGCATGGGTTGAGTGGATGGGCATGGGTTGAGTGGATGGGCATGGGTTGAGTGGATGGGCATGGGTTGAGAGGATGGGAATGGGTTGAGAGGATGGGCATGGGTTGAGAGGATGGGCATGGGTTCAGTGGATGGGCATGGGTTGAGAGGATGGGCATGGGTTGAGAGGATGGGCATGGGTTGAGAGGATGGGCATGGGTTGAGAGGATGGGCATGGGTTGAGAGGATGGGCATGGGTTGAGTGGATGGGCATGGGTTGAGAGGATGGGCATGGGTTGAGAGGATGGGCATGGGTTGAGAGGATGGGCATGGGTTGAGTGGATGGGCATGGGTTGAGTGGTTGGGCATGGGTTGAGAGGATGGGCATGGGTTGAGTGGATGGGCATGGGTTGAGAGGATGGGCATGGGTTCAGTGGATGGGCATGGGTTGAGAGGATGGGCATGGGTTGAGAGGATGGGCATGGGGTGAGAGGATGGGTATGGGTTCAGTGGATGGGCATGGGTTGAGAGCATGGGCATGGGTTGAGAGGATGGGCATGGGCTGAGTGGATGGGCATGGGTTGAGTGGATGGGCATGGGTTGAGAGGATGGGCATGGGTTGAGTGGATGGGCATGGGTTGAGTGGATGGGCATGGGTTGAGTGGATGGGCATGGGTTGAGTGGATGGGCATGGGTTGAGCGGATGGGCATGGGTTGAGCGGATGGGCATGGGTTGAGTGGATGGGCATGGGTTGAGAGGATGGGCATGGGTTGAGAGGATGGGCATGGGTTGAGTGGATGGGCATGGGTTGAGAGGATGGGCATGGGTTGAGTGGATGGGCATGGGTTGAGAGGATGGGCATGGGTTGAGTGGATGGGCATGGGTTGAGAGGATGGGCATGGGTTGAGAGGATGGGCATGGGTTGAGAGGATGGGTATGGGTTCAGTAGATGGGCATGGGTTGAGAGGATGGGCATGGGTTGAGAGGATGGGCATGGGTTGAGAGGATGGGCATGGGTTGAGAGCATGGGCATGGGTTGAGAGGATGGGCATGGGTTGAGAGGTTGGGCATGGGTTGAGTGGATGGGCATGGGTTGAGAGGATGGGCATGGGTTGAGAGGATGGGCATGGGTTGAGAGGATGGGCATGGGTTGAGTGGATGGGCATGGGTTGAGTGGATGGGCATGGGTTGAGAGGATGGGCATGGGTTGAGTGGATGGGCATGGGTTGAGAGGATGGGCATGGGTTGAGTGGATGGGCATGGGTTGAGAGCATGGGCATGGGTTGAGTGGATGGGCATGGGGTGAGAGGATGGGTATGGGTTCAGTGGATGGGCATGGGTTGAGAGGATGGGCATGGGTTGAGAGGATGGGCATGGGTTGAGAGGATGGGCATGGGTTGAGAGCATGGGCATGGGTTGAGAGGATGGGCATGGGCTGAGTGGATGGGCATGGGTTGAGTGGATGGGCATGGGTTGAGTGGATGGGCATGGGTTGAGAGGATGGGCATGGGTTGAGAGGATGGGCATGGGTTGGGAGGATGGGCATGGGTTCAGTGGATGGGCATGGGTTGAGTGGATGGGCATGGGTTGAGAGGATGGGCATGGGTTGAGAGGATGGGCATGGGTTGAGAGGATGGGCATGGGTTGAGAGGATGGGCATGGGTTGAGTGGATGGGCATGGGTTGAGAGGATGGGCATGGGTTGAGAGGATGGGCATGGGTTGAGAGGATGGGCATGGGTTGAGTGGATGGGCATGGGTTGAGTGGATGGGCATGGGTTGAGAGGATGGGCATGGGTTGAGTGGATGGGCATGGGTTGAGAGGATGGGCATGGGTTGAGTGGATGGGCATGGGTTGAGAGGATGGGCATGGGTTGAGAGGATAGGCATGGGGTGAGAGGATGGGTATGGGTTCAGTGGATGGGCATGGGTTGAGAGGATGGGCATGGGTTGAGAGGATGGGCATGGGTTGAGAGGACGGGCATGGGTTGAGAGCATGGGCATGGGTTGAGAGGATGGGCATGGGCTGACTGGATGGGCATGGGTTGAGTGGATGGGCATGGGTTTAGAGGATGGGCATGGGTTGAGTGGATGGGCATGGGTTGAGTGGATGGGCATGGGTTGAGTGGATGGGCATGGGTTGAGAGGATGGGCATGGGTTGAGTGGATGGGCATGGGTTGAGAGGATGGGCATGGGTTGAGTGGATGGGCATGGGTTGAGAGGATGGGCATGGGTTGAGAGGATAGGCATGGGGTGAGAGGATGGGTATGGGTTCAGTGGATGGGCATGGGTTGAGAGGATGGGCATGGGTTGAGAGGATGGGCATGGGTTGAGAGGACGGGCATGGGTTGAGAGCATGGGCATGGGTTGAGAGGATGGGCATGGGCTGACTGGATGGGCATGGGTTGAGTGGATGGGCATGGGTTTAGAGGATGGGCATGGGTTGAGTGGATGGGCATGGGTTGAGTGGATGGGCATGGGTTGAGTGGATGGGCATGGGTTGAGCGGATGGGCATGGGTTGAGTGGATGGGCATGGGTTGAGAGGATGGGCATGGGTTGAGTGGATTGGCATGGGTTGAGTGGATGTGCATGGGTTGAGAGGATGGGCATGGGTTGAGTGGATGGGCACGGGTTGAGAGGATGGGCATGGGTTGAGTGGATGGGCATGGTTTGAGTGGATGGGCATGGGTTGAGAGGATGGGCATGGGTTGAGTGGATTGGCATGGGTTGAGTGGATGGGCATGGGTTGAGAGGATGGGCATGGGTTGAGTGGATGGGCACGGGTTGAGAGGATGGGCATGGGTTGAGTGGATGGGCATGGGTTGAGTGGATGGGCATGGGTTGAGAGGATGGGTATGGGTTGAGTGGATGGGCATGGGTTGAGAGGATGGGCATGGGTTGAGTGGATGGGCATGGGTTGAGTGGATGGGCATGGGTTGAGTGGATGGGCATGGGTTGAGTGGATGGGCATGGGTTGAGTGGATGGGCATGGGTTGAGTGGATGGGCATGGGTTGAGAGGATGGGCATGGGTTGAGAGGATGGGCATGGGTTGAGAGGATGGGCATGGGTTGAGTGGATGGGCATGGGTTGAGAGGATGGGCATGGGTTGAGAGGATGGGCATGGGTTGAGAGCATGGGCATGGGTTGAGAGGATGGGCATGGGCTGAGTGGATGGGCATGGGTTGAGTGGATGGGCATGGGTTGAGTGGATGGGCAAGGGTTGAGAGGATGGGCATGGGTTGAGAGGATGGGCATGGGTTGGGAGGATGGGCATGGGTTCAGTGGATGGGCATGGGTAGAGTGGATGGGCATGGGTTGAGAGGATGGGCATGGGTTGAGAGGATGGGCATGGGTTGAGAGGATGGGCATGGGTTGAGAGGATGGGCATGGGTTGAGTGGATGGGCATGGGTTGAGAGGATGGGCATGGGTTGAGAGGATGGGCATGAGTTGAGAGGATGGGCATGGGTTGAGTGGATGGGCATGGGTTGAGTGGATGGGCATGGGTTGAGAGGATGGGCATGGGTTGAGTGGATGGGCATGGGTTGAGAGGATGGGCATGGGTTGAGTGGATGGGCATGGGTTGAGAGGATGGGCATGGGTTGAGAGGATAGGCATGGGGTGAGAGGATGGGTATGGGTTCAGTGGATGGGCATGGGTTGAGAGGATGGGCATGGGTTGAGTGGATGGGCATGGGTTGAGAGGACGGGCATGGGTTGAGAGCATGGGCATGGGTTGAGAGGATGGGCATGGGCTGACTGGATGGGCATGGGTTGAGTGGATGGGCATGGGTTGAGAGGATGGGCATGGGTTGGGAGGATGGGCATGGGTTCAGTGGATGGGCATGGGTTGAGTGGATGGGCATGGGTTGAGAGGATGGGCATGGGTTGAGAGGATGGGCATGGGTTGAGAGGATGGGCATGGGTTGAGAGGATGGGCATGGGTTGAGTGGATGGGCATGGGTTGAGAGGATGGGCATGGGTTGAGAGGATGGGCATGGGTTGAGATGATGGGCATGGGTTGAGTGGATGGGCATGGGTTGAGTGGACGGGCATGGGTTGAGAGGATGGGCATGGGTTGAGTGGATGGGCATGGGTTGAGAGGATGGGCATGGGTTGAGTGGATGGGCATGGGTTGAGTGGATGGGCATGGGTTGAGAGGATGGGCATGGGTTGAGAGGATGGGCATGGGTTGAGAGCATGGGCATGGGTTGAGAGGATGGGCATGGGCTGAGTGGATGGGCATGGGTTGAGTGGATGGGCATGGGTTGAGTGGATGGGCAAGGGTTGAGAGGATGGGCATGGGTTGAGAGGATGGGCATGGGTTGGGAGGATGGGCATGGGTTCAGTGGATGGGCATGGGTAGAGTGGATGGGCATGGGTTGAGAGGATGGGCATGGGTTGAGAGGATGGGCATGGGTTGAGAGGATGGGCATGGGTTGAGAGGATGGGCATGGGTTGAGTGGATGGGCATGGGTTGAGAGGATGGGCATGGGTTGAGAGGATGGGCATGGGTTGAGAGGATGGGGATGGGTTGAGTGGATGGGCATGGGTTGAGTGGATGGGCATGGGTTGAGAGGATGGGCATGGGTTGAGTGGATGGGCACGGGTTGAGAGGATGGGCATGGGTTGAGTGGATGGGCATGGGTTGAGTGGATGGGCATGGGTTGAGAGGATGGGCATGGGTTGAGTGGATGGGCATGGGTTGAGAGGATGGGCATGGGTTGAGTGGATGGGCATGGGTTGAGTGGATGGGCATGGGTTGAGTGGATGGGCATGGGTTGAGTGGATGGGCATGGGTTGAGTGGATGGGCATGGGTTGAGTGGATGGGCATGGGTTGAGTGGATTCGCATGGGTTGAGTGGATTGGCATGGGTTGAGAGGATGGGCATGGGTTGAGTGGATGGGCACGGGTTGAGTGGATGGGCACGGGTTGAGAGGATGAGCATGGGTTGAGCGGATGGGCATGGGTTGAGTGGATGGGCATGGGTTGAGCGGATGGGCATGGGTTGAGCGGATGGGCATGGGTTGAGTGGATGGGCATGGGTTGAGAGGATGGGCATGGGTTGAGTGGATTGGCATGGGTTGAGTGGATGGGCATGGGTTGAGAGGATGGGCATGGGTTGAGTGGATGGGCACGGGTTGAGAGGATGGGCATGGGTTGAGTGGATGGGCATGGGTTGAGTGGATGGGCATGGGTTGAGAGGATGGGCATGGGTTGAGTGGATGGGCATGGGTTGAGAGGATGGGCATGGGTTGAGTGGATGGGCATGGGTTGAGTGGATGGGCATGGGTTGAGTGGATGGGCATGAGTTGAGTGGATGGGCATGGGTTGAGTGGATGCGCATGGGTTGAGTGGATGGGCATGGGTTGAGTGGATTCGCATGGGTTGAGTGGATTGGCATGGGTTGAGAGGATGGGCATGGGTTGAGTGGATGGGCACGGGTTGAGTGGATGGGCACGGGTTGAGAGGATGAGCATGGGTTGAGTGGATGGGCATGGGTTGAGTGGATGGGCATGGGTTGAGTGGATGGGCATGGGTTGAGTGGATGGGCATGGGTTGAGAGGATGGGCATGGGTTGAGAGGATGGGCATGGGTTGAGTGGATGGGCATGGGTTGAGTGGATGGGCATGGGTTGAGTGGATGGGCATGGGTTGAGAGGATGGGCACGGGTTGAGTGGATGGGCATGGGTTGAGAGGATGGGCATGGGTTGAGTGGATGGGCATGGGTTGAGTGGATGGGCATGGGTTGAGTGGATGGGCATGGGTTGAGAGGATGGGCATGGGTTGAGAGGATGGGTATGGGTTGAGTGGATGGGCATGGGTTGAGTGGATGGGCATGGGTTGAGTGGATGGGCATGGGTTGAGTGGATGGGCATGGGTTGAGTGGATGGGCATGGGTTGGTGGATGGGCATGGGTTGAGTGGATGGGCATGGGTTGAGTGGATGGGCATGGGTTGAGTGGATGGGCATGGGTTGAGTGGATGGGCATGGGTTGAGTGGATGGGCATGGGTTGAGTGGATGGGTATGGGTTGAGTGGATTGGCATGGGTTGAGTGGATTTGCATGGGTTGAGAAGATGGGCATGGGTTGAGTGGATGGGCACGAGTTGAGTGGATGGGCACGGGTTGAGAGGATGGGCATGGGTTGAGTGGATGGGCATGGGTTGAGTGGATGGGCATGGGTTGAGTGGATGGGCATGGGTTGAGTGGATGGGCATGGGTTGAGTGGATGGGCATGGGTTGAGTGGATGGGCATGGGTTGAGTGGATTGGCATGGGTTGAGTGGATTGGCATGGGTTGAGAGGATGGGCATGGGTTGAGTGGATGGGCACGGGTTGAGTGGATGGGCACGGGTTGAGAGGATGGGCATGGGTTGAGTGGATGGGCATGGGTTGAGTGGATGGGCATGGGTTGAGTGGATGGGCATGGGTTGAGTGGATGGGCATGGGTTGAGTGGATGGGCATGGGTTGAGAGGATGGGCATGTGTTGAGAGGATGGGCATGGGTTGAGTGGATGGGCATGGGTTGAGTGGATGGGCATGGGTTGAGTGGATGGGCATGGGTTGAGTGGGCGTGCTTTCCCTGCTGCTCGCCGCCCTGTGAGTGCTGCTCGCCGCCCTGTGAGTGCTGCTCGCCGCGCTGTGAGTGCTGCACGCCGCCCTGTGAGTGAAGCAGGCTTGAGGTGAACGGCATGGGTTGAGCTTTTGGGCCGGGGTTAGAGTGTATAGAGGGTGCCTAAGGCACGGTTTGAGAGGACGTGCAGGGGCACCGTGCTTGATGGTCTTAGGGACTCAACCTTACCGCCTGTGCCACATGCCACACGCCACGTACCTGCGTTGCTGCCCTGGCAGGAATCCGCAAGCCATGGTGGTGGCGGTGGAGGCGGGAGAGAGCAGCTTCAGAGCGCTGCAGCGCAACACAGCAGCGCTGCCCAACGTGGTGGCGGTGAGGGGCGGGCTGTGGCCGTACGAGACCAGCCTGCATGTGGGCCAGGATGGCCGCCTCACTCCCGCGCAGTCCATCAACGCCCAGGTGTGTTGAATGTGAAGGCTGCTGTACTTGCCTCCATGTGCCACTTTCTCCGTGTTCCCTCTTCCCTGCTCCATTTCGTCCCTGCCCACTTAGTAGTATCACTCTTTCATCGGGCACATGCCACTGCTCCCTCATCCCATCCCCACACAGGGCGCGGAGTCCAGCTGGGCACAGGCGGACGTGGTGCCGGGGCTGTCAGGCCCCTTCCTGCTGCGCTTCCTGGCCCTACCGCGCTTTGACCTCGTGCGAATCAACACGCACGGCAACGAGGAGCCGCTCTTCCACGCCCCCTCCCCCCACCACGACTCAGCCTCACCCCATCACGATGCACACTGGCTGCTCACCGGGCCACGCACGGCCATCTTTGACTCGCACCCGGGCCTCTTCCCTGCCACTGCCGCCTCCTCGCCCACCCCCTCCACCAACGATCGCGCCAGCATCCCTGCTACATTCCTCTCGCAGCACGGGGGCTTCGAGCAGGTGCCTGAGACCAAGGGGTCCGGGTTCATTGTGCTGCGCCGTGGGGAGGGCAGGGGGACTGCGGTGGTGGAGGGAGTGGGCTTGCCGATCTTAGGGAATGAGACCGCATCAGGAGAAGGGTTGACAGGTGTGGGAGGTGCAGGAGCAGTAGGAAGGAGTTGAAGGCACCAGGGTTGCGCCTACAATCGAGTGGAGTTCATAAGCGTGTGTATGTGTGTTATGCATGTGTGAGTGGGTTTTGTTGGTCATAAAGCCCGAGGTCAGCATGGTAAATTTTCAAGTTATGTGGGGTTGAAACAGTCTGGCGAAAATAATAATATCGTGTATTTCGGAAATGTGTGGGGTGAAAGCGAATTCAGGTGGGTGAGACAGCATAATATAGCTCAGCCGACGAAAACTGCCGCCCATTTTCGCGGTTCAAAACGGACAACCCCCTTCCTCGTGGTTGACGACCCCACGACGACCTCCGCGTGGAAAGCCCTGCCTATCTGGCTGGGCCCGGTGCTGGTGAGCCCTCGGGATGGTCGACGACATGTCGACCTAGAGTTCTGCTGAGACAATCCCGAGAAGGACGTCTCAGCCGCGTGTCAGAAGACCAGCTCGGCAAGTCGGGCCGCGATGATCGCCACGCGGCCACAAAGGGACGCCCGAGGTAGTCCCCTGGATGGCGGGGCCACCGAGGTCTGCCAGGTTGGACACGACGGGCCAACGGAAGGTCGGGGTGCTTCGCTTGGGAGAATCTCGCGCATGAACGTGGCAAGGTCGGTGCATACCACACGGCATTCATCCAACGGTTGCTCACATGCGCAAGGAGAAATCCGGCCGTCCACTATCTATGGCTACGTGCAGTGGACACTGATGATGCGGGAATGTCGGCGTCGACCAGAAGAGCATCATCGTGGTGCCACACGGCAGTGTCTCCCGACCTCGACCTACCGAGGTGCACCTAATTCGGGACCACGCCACGTTGCCGCACGAAAGAGCCAGCGTGTAGCAGCCACGAAAAGAGCATGATGAGCGAATCGCTGCAAGCAAGCAGCCATGCACGCCTGGTGGCACGTCGGACACGGCGCCGCCGCACGAGCGTACATGCATGGCGGCGTCGTGCACTGGGGTTTGCGTGGAGCGCCAAGTGGTGCGGAGTCGCTCACGACCATACCCATCCGTGGTCCCCGAAATGGTCGCTCATTCCGCCTGCCATTGTGTGTGCGTGTACGTCCGTAAGCTGGCACTTAGCTTCTTTTTTTTTACCACTGACTTGACGGCCGGCACTTAGATTTTCTCTGGAGGCGCAACGTCGGCGTCGTGATAGTAGGCAGACGTGGTCGCCGACCTCTCGTAGGATTGTCTGCTGTCCCGACCTGCCAGATACCGCCGACATAGAATACGCATTTAGTAGTTTATCGACCTCACCACGCCGACTTCCCATCGCCCTAGGTCGCCGTATCATGGCCAGAGGACAGCCTCGTTCGACACCGCCGCAAACCAACCCACCCCCCGCCGATGTCGACATGACGGACGTTCCGAACCCCGCTAGCCAGGGTGAGGACGTCCGCCCGGTAGACCGTACACCGACCAGTAACCCCTCGTCGTCTTTGCCGCTGCTTTACGATCTCGACGCCCTGGCCCAAATCCCGTAGGGAGAGTTCACCAAGGACGTTCCGCCCGCGCCAATAGGGGAGTTCACGAAACCACGCAAAACGTCGACGCCGACGGATGCAGGGGAGGCCGGGCCGTCGTCTGTGCCGGACGGATCGGGCGACCAGGATGAGGACGATTATTCATCGGCGAGCGACGAGGACGACGAAGACGACCCGCGGCCCCGACGTGGTGCAGGTCCGCGCACATTGGAAGAAAAACTCAGGGGGGAACGTGCGTTCATAGAGGAACTGTTGGACGAGAACGAGCTTGAGGATCTGCTGCACACGTCGGTCCCTCGAGAAATGTGGAAGGCGGCCGACTTCGTAGAGGAAGATATGGTGTACGCGTGCGTCGACGTGCTCGTGATGGAGGCAATGCGCCACCTGAAAACCATAGAGGCCAAGAGCACGCTCAAGTCCTACACCTCATGGATATACGACTACAAAAGGTGGACGGCGAAGATGCTTAAAAAAATTGGCGACAAACTGCCGACAGCAGAACAAATGAGGCACGTCGACGAGATAGGGCACTGGACACACAACAACAAGAGCAAGGATTGGGACAACGAGAAGGTGGTCAAGCGGAAGCACATATGGCTGCACGGCCCCCGGGTCACTAGTACGCGACTGCGCGCCTACATCAAGTTCATGAGGCGGGAGTACAAGATCGACGCCGACACGAACGAGCCAGTGCGAGCCTACACGGTGCACATGATCCTCGGCCGCATCAAGGCCTGCCAGATGGCGGCGAGGGTGGAGGCGACGCTCTACAAGGAGAAGGAGTTGGGCATCATGCGGGAAATCTCGGTGGTCCGGTCGGAGGTGCGGGTCATGGTCCGCACGAAAAATCAGAGGGACCTCGAGTAAGTTGGCATGCATCGCCGTGTTATGTCGCCATCGATTTGTGTTCCTCGCCCTAATATTCATATCCATATATTGTTATGTCGACAGTAAATGCGCCGACCGTCGACGCGGCACCATCGGCGACACATACACCGCCGAACAGTTCCGCCAGATAATGACGAGGGTGCTGCCGGCTTGGGCGGCGTCGGCATGGAGCCCGCATTTCACCACACCTACGCAGACGCTGTGGAGGTTTCTTCTCATCAAGGTGCTCACGCTGCTCTCCCACCACAGCCTCATGCGCGGTGCAAGCATACGCAAGATAACGCTCCCCGACATCTTCCTGTACCGACTGGCGAGCACCTCGTCGGTGAACCCGGATAACCAGCCGGTCGTCATGGTGGTCGCCGCGCGGAACTCGAAGACGTCGAAGGATGCGCGTCTTCAACAGAGCTACGCGGCGCGGCACCTAGAAGCGGAGTTGTGCGCCGTCGGCGAGACCGGGCTGTGGTTACACTTCGTCCTCGACCAGATCGGCCAGTTTCACGGCGTCGACCTCATTCCGCCGGTCGACACCAGCACACGCGAGCTCTGGTACAAGAAGCATCTGTTCTTCGCTCGCAACGACCCCGAGCAGGGCGAACTCTCAGCTCCCAGCCACCAGCGATGGACGAGGCAGATGTGGAAGACGAACGGGGTGTTCTGCAAGCGGAACGTCCATGCCGCTCGGGCGGGCGGGGCGCAGGAGTTGGCCATCCAAGGTACGCCTCGCGCCGAGATAGCCGAGCTGGGTCACTGGGCTCTCGACAAGATGACTCGAGCCTACATCACATCCATTCCCGTCGGCGTGGTGATGAAGAAGGCCGGCTATTCGGGATTCACGCAGGACTACTTCTTGGGTCGCAGTAGGGTGGAACCGGGAGACGAACTCCTCGCTCTCATCGCCGAGCACATCTTCCCCGGCGTCGACGACCTCCTCAACAAGGTTTGTTTATCGGTGCCGACCAAGCTTGCATGGTACTGTCCTATCCACCACGGAAATAACCCACGTCTGATGTCTAACTGCAGGCAGAAGAACTCGCGAAGAAGGGGTCCAACGCCGACGTTGCGGCCGTGCATTTCTGGCGCACCCTTCTGATGTTCCGCCGCATTGTCGCCGAGGACCTCGCGGTGAAACTCGTCCGCACCCCTTGGCACCCGTACATCCAGTATTCCAAGCTCTGCCGGATTCCCCTCTTCCAGCACTGGGCGAAGAGGGTCGAGAAGACCGACACCGACACCATAAAAAAGCGGCAAGATCCAACCCTCATCCAACCAGAGGTAGGTCATCTTTTATGCCGACGTCGCGATGTTATCTATGACCGCTACAACCCCTCATCTGCACCGTTATTCGCCTACCATTGCAGGAGATATCGGTCCGCCATGACGCCCAGTTCGCGGTCGTCTCCCTCACGGAGACGCTTAAGCTCGAGAGGGAGCGGTCAACGGTCCAGAAGCTCGACCTCGAGGAGAAGATCGAGAATCGCGACGCAACCATCGCGTCGCTCGCGGCCGAGATAACACGCCTCACCGAGGCTCTCCGCGTTTCAGAAGCTCGAAGGATGCCGGAGGCGCCGCCAGCTGCTAACGACTAGTCGCCGAGCGACGGTGGCTCCGCGGAGTCGGCAAGCAGGGGTGGAGGAGCCAACAAACCCAATAAACCCCCACAGACGGTCGAGGAGGCTAGCTACGAGCTGAACGTAGTGCAGCCTTGGCGGACTGCAACGACCGTCAAGGACGCGTGGCGCCTCTGGACCTCGTGCACCAGCGCCGACACCCGTCGTCTGTGCGACAGGTTCAGGGAGCCGGGATTCGTCGACCGCCACACCCTCCTCGACGGAGCCTCGCAGGGAGCACACGGGAAGAGGGTGCGCCGCATGATGAAGGTCATCGATGCGGTGCGCCAGCTTCGCAGGAGCGACGGCGAAGCCGACACGGAAGCCACCGTCGACGCGCTTAACAAGATAGCGGCGCCTGGCATTGGGACCTTCGCGGATGCCCTCACGGTGCTCAACGCGGACGCCGTAGCGACCTATGCCGGGCAGGATAAGGGCGTCAAAGGGCTCGGCAAGACGGAATTTTCCAAGCTTCGTGTCGCCTGTGCATTCGTGGCGCGCGGGTTAAAGCCCGAAACGTGGGTCGCCGACCTGTTCCCGGACACCTGGGTTGAGCAGATGAAGAAGACGTTGGCCGATCTGGCCCGGGCAGCTGCCTCCGACCAATAAGTCGACCAAGCGCAAGAAAACCGCTTGAATGTTCCCAGGCCTCCTGCTACTGTGGCCTGTTGCATGTTGTAGATGTTGATGCAGCATGCCTATGTTTCATACTGATACTGATGTCGACTTTTTGTTTCTCACAATGATCCTGTTGTTCTTGGCCTAGCGGGGCATTCACGTGTCGTTCAAACTGAAGTACACAATCATTACTAGCTAATGTGTTCATTACTCATCCTACGTAAAGTAGACAGGCACGCACAAAAAAAAACACAAACAAAGAGCATCAAAGGGATCCGACAGCCAAAACAAGGAAAACGATATCGACGATTTCATCATCGACTCCACGCAGCACTCAATCTTAGCAGGCCGTCGACTAGGCCGTCGTCATGTCCTTCGACATCTTGCCCTTCTCCGTGCCGCCCTTGGTCTTCGTCCCCTTCTTGCCCCTCAGACCCTTCCTCCCCCTGTTGTCAAGATCGGCCTTCATCTGCGCGTCAATCGGCACCGCGATGTCCCTCGCTCTTAGTTTCGGCCCGGCGACGGGGCACATTCCCCAAAACGCCATCGTCTCAACCGTCGCTCTAGCGATAACGTCGGCATCTACTCCAGCATTCCCCCCCGGATAGACCCTATCAAGGGCGGTCCTCTGGAGTGCTGGCGCGACGTTGTAGGCAACCTCTCCCAGGGGGCGGTCCCTGTTCATCTTGGCTTTCAGCACCGCCTCCATGACTTTTCCGAATACATCGGCGGTCGCCTGGCTCGCTCCGCCGATGATCGCCGCCGACTTCCCTTCTTCCACAGCATCCGCCAGCTGGGCATCGCCGTTCTCGACGAAGCACCACACAGCGCATGCGGATGCTGCTAACGCCCATGCCGCCATATCCGTCTTCTCCTCCTTGTCTCCCTCCTTCGCCGCTGCCGCAGCGGTCTTCCCATATGCAGCGCACATTGACACGCGGCCTATCATCGCCGACATCATGGACGCCGACTTCTCCCGGCCTTCCTCGGTGCTAGCATCGACTGGGTACCATATCGCTGGCAGGAGCGCGGCGTGGAGACAATCGCCTGTGGACTTGTAATGGCGATACGCGTCGAGGATCTCTGTCAGCCTGTCACGCCACCACAAACAGGGCGAACATTAGTGACAACGACAACGACATCGACTTTGAATCGGAGGATTACCGACTTACCGTGTCTTTGGAAGGAGCGTACCCCGGGCCCACATCACCGTCCACATCCCTGTCGGCAAGATCCTGACCTCCTCCCACACCTCCTTCCACCTCTCCAATTTGGCGCTGTCCAAGCCGGTGAGCTCAGTCATGAGCACCTTGCTCACGAAACCGTCGTAGACGACGTACGCGATGGAGTGAACGTACGCGAGCTCCATCTTGTCCCGCGACTTGCCGATGTATCGATTGATGCCGTGCACCTTAATCTCGCCGACCCACCCTTGCTTGTCGCCCGAGGTATCGTGTTGGATGCCATGACCCCTCCTCTCCTTGCCCTTCCCCTCCTCCTCCTCCTCCTCCTCCTCCTCCTCCTCCTCCTCCTCCTCCTCCTCCTCCTCCTCCTCCTCTTCCTCCTGCTCGACCTCCTCCACCTCCTCGACATCCTCATCCTCCTCCTCCGCCTTCCTCTTTCCCTTTCTCCCCTTCGAGGAACCCTCGCCGACCGCCTTCTCCTTCCCCTTTCTCCCGGTCGACGCACCTTCTCCGACCGACTTGTCCTTCCCCTTCCTCCCCGTCGACGTACCCTCGCCGGGCGACTTCTCCTTATTCTCCCCTTTCCCTTCAACCTCCCCAATGCCGCCTCGATCTTTGTCCGCCGCCGTCTCCGCCGCCATCCCCTTCTGTTTATCCGCCGCCTTCACCTCCGACTTCTCCCGCGTCTTCCTCTGTGAGCCCGCCTTCCCCTTCCATTTCGACTTTCCTTCACCGACCGCATCACCGGTCGCACTAGGCTCTGCCGCGATGCCGACGAGTCCCGCCGAAGGCTCCACATGTTCAGTGTCGGAGATGGCCAGGGTTCGGGGATTGGCTGCATCCAGATGGGCCTGTATGGCAGCGATATCAGCGTCTGCGGGGACCTCCTCAACGGCGCCGCCGCCGGTGGCAAGCGCGGCACGAACGCCCTTCTCCGCCGCCTTCTCCACATCAGCTGCCACATGGGTGGGTGGTGCGACATTCGCCGACGACGGCTTAGAGCCAGAGCTAGAAGCCTGCTGAGTCCTCTCAGTCGACGCTAGTGCGCCCAGCTGGGCGCGCAACAATGCGGACTTTGGGTCTGCAGGAGTACGGGCGGCGACGACCGGCACTACACGTGGCCCACTGGCCGATGGGACGTCGACAGCAGGGGGGGCTTGTTGAACAGCCCTGTGGCCGGCTAGGAGCCTGAGCTGCTCCTTGAGCGCGTCCGCAACTGCCGCCCCTTTTCCCGCGCGGCCAACCTTGTCGGCAGACGGTACGTCGGCATGGCGCGGGACGTCGGTAGGTCGCCCGGCAGACGGTCCGGTCGGATGGCGTGCACCCGCGGGAGACTGGTGAGGAACCGCTGACGCCTCCGCAACCCCTGTCTTCGGGCCCTGGCCAGCTTTCGCGGACCCGCCTGGGGCCGTTTTGGCGGCGGCCTTCCCCTTGTCGCGCAGGCCTTTCACACCGCTACCCTGTCGTGGTGGCTTAACGCCGACCGAAGGCGGAGCCATTGGCAGTGCGTCATCAGTGGCATGCTCGTCGGCGGGACCCCCACCACCATGGCCCGTGCTGGCCGCTCCAACCTGAGCCCAGTGCTTCCTGAGGATGTCGACCACGCTCTTCCCCGACTGCTTCAACGAACTGCCGTCGCCGGCTCCCATGCTCCCATCGCCGGCGACGCGAGAACCAGCCGCTCCCTTGGTCCGCCTCGCGCCCGCCGAATCGTCTCCGTCCCCCCCCCCCCGCCGCCAGACCCCCCGCCTCCCTTGCTCCGCTTCGTGTTCGCCGAATTGTCCCCGTCGCCCCCCCCGCCGCCTCCCCGCCTCTTGTGACCCAGCTTCAAGCCCTCCGTAGGTTGCGCTTGGCCGGCGTCGTTTGCCGACGGCGACGACCCACGCCGAGCATACGCCGCCAAGCTGTCGACCCGCCCCGTCTGCTCACCGAGCCGCCGTTCAAGGAGTGCATTGTCTGCACGCAATCGCCTGTTCTCCGCCCTCAGCTGATCGACGACGTCCAGCCGCGCCTGCCGCCCAGCCGCGGTGGAACCGGGATGACCGCTCGCCGCCTTCTTCCTCCTAGACCGCTCCCCGCCGGCCTTCTCCGCGGTGGCATCGGTATGCACATCCACGCCCCTCTGCTCCGGGACCGCGGCGTTATCCCCTTCACCGACCTCGACCATGCCACCACCTCCGTGAGCCGCCTCCACGCCGACCTCGCCGATATTCGCTGTCGCACCCTTCCCCTCCCCTTCGTCGTTCTCGACATCCGCCGATCTCCCACCCGTTTCCTCCGCTCCTCCGACAACGTACCCCTCCGCCATTTCCACGTCCTCCACCTCTACCAACTGCTCCTCCTGGTGCTGCCTCTCGTGCTCCTGCGTCTCCTGCTCCTGCTCCTCCTCCGACTCCGACTCCGAGCCCGACCCCGATCCCGACCCCGACCTCGACCCCGACGACTCCTCCGAGCCCCCCTCACCCTCACGTTCCTCGCGATCCTGGACCCCATCATCATCCCCGTGAACAACCTCAGTCCCGGTCACCCCCTTTCCTGCGGCCGCATCGGCCTCGTCGACGCCGACTCCCGACTTGCCACGCGCATCAGCGACGTTCGGGGCGACCCCTACTGCTACGGATGCAGAATGGACTTCCTCGCCGTCGTCGTCACAGGCGTCGGCAGCAACAACGGTTTTCCCCGACCGTATGAGCGGGACTTGCTTCTTGATGAGGGCTACCATCTCGTTCCGCAGCGCCTTCAACCCCGAGACGGTGGGCTTGTCCATGCTGGTGGCAATGCGACGGAGGTCGCCGGTCAGGCGCTGGAACCGCCTCACAACCCAGATCAACGCGCTCATTGCTAGCAGGCCGGAGCCCGCGTCCGAGTCCCGGACGGTATCGGGAATTTTCTGCATACAACATTGCAGAGAGCAAGGATGAGGGCGGCGTAGATGTGACACCATATGACGGCGAATCGTCCGGAACTCACATCTCGAAGGGGTTCGTCGCAGTCGGCGAGCCTCTCCTGCACCTCGTCTTCGGACGGCTTCGCCCACTCCCATTTCCTACCCTCGCGCCGCAGCTCGGCCAGAACAGCGGTCCGGAAAAACCTGCAAAAGCACGGCAAGGACGGTCGGTTAGCACGGTGCACGCGCCGTGTCGACAATGTATGCGATGTCGACTAAACTATCGAGCTCACTTCAGCACGCGGATCGCCTCGTCGCGGTGCCACTCCTTCACTGTCTGCGGGTCGGCGTGCCGGATCGAGGTCCTGACCTCCTGCCCCGAGGCATTGAACAAATCGCCGGGGCACAGGATGAGAACGACGCTGCAATGTGCTCCCGGAAGCGGTGCGATGCTGCACAGACAAGGCACGTCGATGGCGCTCAGAACAAATCACCGACACAGGTTGCAGCACACAGCAGGACCTCGAGCCTGCTCACCTTGATATCAGTGGGATAACCGCCACGTCGGCGTCGAAAATCGTCGCAAAGCATGTGTGGTCGTCCTGACCCATCGCCGCCCGAAGCCGGCCGACTCCTATCGACCACAATCGCTCGCCTGCATCCGTTGAGCGGATCCATGCGTGCCTGCACGCATGCATGATTACAACAAATTAGAGAGGTATAGGTGCGCGGCACGACGGTGGAATGACGGGAGCCGAACGACTTCGGCACAACTCAGCGTCGTCGACGACCTAACGCATTACGTCGGCATCACCGATGTGATGTGCCTGAACTCTAAGCCCGTCGACATATACTACTGGACGCATTGAAACCCCGCCATGGCCGACCAGCATGGAATAGGCCCGTCGACGACGACATCTCCATAAGACACTCACTTGAGACCGAGTCCGAAGCAACGGGCGTTAAACTCTAGCATAGGGTTTGTCAGAACGGCGTAGTCGTGCTCTTCGAACTTGGCCGTGTGTCCTCTACCGATGTCTAGATGCAGGGGGAAATCTAGCGAGGTCGGCGCCGCTTCGGCGGCTTTCTGGCCGGCTGCCATGGCGGGAGAGCGAGGATGCTATGCTACAGGCTAAGGGAAGAAACGGTGGGAGTATGGAAGGCGCCGAGGTGGGAGGAAAAATGAAAGAGAAACGAGAACGCGAAAATGAGGGGCCAGTCCACCTCCAACGAAGAAAAGCCAGGCGGAGCCACGCAGGCCCGGTTGAGCGTCGCCCAGGGGGCCGTGATGCCTGGCTCGGCAGGGCTCGTGCACAAGTTGCGTGGCACAAGTGCACCCTTGCCGCCGAGCCAACAGGTCGACGTCACGTCCCCCGGCCTCGGTCGGCCAGGGGACGCAACTTCGCGTGGGCGCGGTGCGACGTTTCGGCACCACGTGTCGATTTCGCAGAGGGTCGCGAAAGCCGTGCGCCCCGTGGCGAACGACCCAGTTTTCGCTCGAGTTTCGGGGGGTACGAAATGTCTCATGCACGCGATGCGAAATGACGTGCGAGCACGTGGCGTCACCGCAACGGGTCGCGAAATAGTCGAGCGACCCGAGGGGAGTGTTAGATTTATATGACATAGTTGCTGTAGGCTATAGTGGGGTAGCACATATGGGGTACAGGGTTTCTAGGGTTGTATTTGTACCCAATCTTTCCTTAGTCATTCTCATTCCTGTTCACTTGTTTCACATGGTATAGAGCGGGTCCTTCCTAAGGACCGTTTTTTTTAGGGCCCACCAAAGCGCGCCCCGAGGCGCGCATTTTTTTAGCGACCCCTCGGGTCGCCATTTCCCTCGCGGCCCCGCTGTCCCTCAGACGCGGCCCCGCCACCCCTCCTGATCGCGGCCCCGCCGCCTGCTTGACGCGGCCCCGCCGCCTCCACTGACGCGGCCCCGCCGCCGGCTCTGACGCGGCCCTGCCGCCCGCTACGTCGCGGCCTCGCCGCCTGCTTGACGCGGCCCCGCCGCCTCCACTGACGCGGCCCCGTCGCCGGCTCTGACGCGGCCCTGCCGGCCCGCCGCTGCACCTGACGGCCCCACCGCTGCACCTGTCGGCCCGCCACTACACCCTACGGCCCGCCGCTGCACCCTACGGCCCGCCGCCTCACCTCACGGCCCCGCCGCTGCACCTGCCGGCCCGCCGCTGCACCCTACAGCCCGCCGCTGCACCCAGCGGCCCGCCGCTTCACCTGACGGCCCAGCTGCTGCACCTGCCGGCCCGCCGCTGCACCCTACGGCCCGCCACTGCACCCAGCGGCCCGCCGCTTCACCTGACGGCCCCGCCGCTGCACCTACCGGCCCGCCGCTGCACCCTACGGCCCCGCCGCTGCACCTGCCGGCCCGCCGCTGCACCCTACGGCCCCGCCGCTTCACCTGACAGCCCCGCCGCTGCACCTGCCGGCCCGCCACTGCACCCTACGTCCCGCCGCTGCACCCTACGGCCCGCCGCCTCACCTGACGGCCCCACCGCTGCACCTGCTGGCCCGCCGCTGCACCCTACGGCCCCGCCGCTGCACCTGCCGGCTCGCCGCTGCACCGGTCGACCCGCCACTTCACCTGCCGGCCCGCCGCTGCACCTGACGGCCCCGCCCCTGCATCTCCCGGCCGAGCCGCCCCAGCAGCAGAGCCGCCCCAGCAGCCGAGCCGCCCCAGCCGCCGAGCCGCCCCAACAGCCGAGCCGAACCAGCAGCCGAGCCGCCCCAGCAGCCGAGCCGCCCCAGCTGCAGTGCCGCCCGAGCCGCCCGAGCCGCCGAGTCGCCCGAGCCGCCCAGCAGTCGAGCCGCCCGAGCCGCCCGAGCCGCCCGAGCCCTCCCTGCACTGCCCTGTCTGGTGAGCACTGAGCCTTACTCTGCGCACTGCCCTCTCTCTACTGTTGTCATGGCTACCCCCAGTGTCCTCGCCTTTGACGCTGAGGGCAGAGCCATTGACTTTGACGTGTGGGTAGACGACCTACTGCTTTTCCTACAGTGCGACAGAGCTGACGGACTCTCTCTCTTTGATCTCACTTCTGGTGCCTCTCCCGCCCCTGCTGCTACTGAGGATGCCACTGTTCGCTCACAGTGGGCCACACGCGATGCTGCTGCACGTCTTGCTATGCGTCGCCACCTCCCTCCCGCTGAGCGTGCGCACTTTGGGTCGTACAAGAGTGCTAAGACCTTGTACGACGCCGTTATCGCACGCTACTCCACCCCTGCCACTGCTGCACTGAGCCGCCTCATGCTACCATACCTCTTTCCCGACCTTGCTGCTTTTGCCACAGTAGCCGACCTCATTACCCACCTGCGCACTAGTGACGCTCGCTTCCGCGCTGCACTTCCTGCTGAGTTCTGCGCCAAGACCCCCCCCCCCCAGTACTTCACTCTCTACTACATTGTCACCCGCCTCCCTGACTCCCTTCGCGGAGTCAGGGACGACCTACTCGCAGTCTGCCCCACCACTCTCACTGTCGAGATCCTCGAGAAGTCCCTCCTAGCAGCCGAGAAGGGCATTCTCGCTGTAGGGGCCTCTCGTGGTGACCCGCGCACCCCCATCTTTGAGGGGTGTTCCCCCTCCCCCCTCCTGCCCTCTGTCGCCTCTGCTGCTACGGCCGACCTTGTTGGTTTTGAGTCGGTCGGAGCGGCGTCTGCCCCCAGCGGGAGACGTCGCTCTGGCAAGAGCAAGGGGGGCAGGGGCGGTGGTGGAGGCGGCGGGGGCGGTGGAGGCGGAGGTAGAGGCAGCGGCGGAGGTGAGGGTGGTAGCGGGAGTAGTGGCGGGAGTGGAGGTGTCGGCGGAGGCAGTGGAGGCGGGGGCGGCAGCGGCGGTGGTAGTGGGGGTGGAGGCGGAGGCGGCGGTGGCGGCGGCGACGGTGGGAGTGGCGGTGGCGGTGGAGGTGGTGGCGGCGGCGGCGGAGGAGGCGGCGGAGGTCGTGGCGTGCCGAGGAGGAGTGGCTCCGGTGGTGGTCAGCACCAGCAGCAGCAGCGTGGTCAGGAGACCCTCTCCCCGCAGCAGCTCCGTGAGTGGTACTCTGCGCGTCAGCGGGGTGGGGGTACTGGTCCGTGCACTTACGTCCTGCGCACTGGCGACCGTGCGGGTGAGCAGTGTGGTGGTCCACACTCCACCCAGCGTTGCTTCGGCCGCCTGACTGACGCTTGGCGCCGCCAGTTTCCTGACGCCTCTGAGATCCCTCGCTGGGACCAGCTGTCTAGGGCTGGAGTAGCTATCTTTGATCTTGACTTTGATGCTATTCTTGCTGCAATGTATGCTGTGACTATTAGTGAGGAGGGTGACTGTTACCGGTGTTTCCCGCCCGACCCGGGCATTGGTACTGCGGCTCTAGGTGCTGTTGAGGCTGCTGCTCCAGGTGCTGGTGAGGCTGTTGCTCTAGGTGCCCGTGAGTCTGAGTCCTCAGGTGCTGGTGAGTCTGCTCTCTCAGGTACTGTGTCGACTTCACCCTCTCTCACTTTCACTCTTGACTCCGGGGCGTCTCGCTCCTTCTTTCGAGACCGCACCACACTCACGCCGCTTAGTCGGCCGGTGGCGGTCTCCTTGGCAGACCCCTCTGGGGGTCCTGTTCTGGCTCGCTACTCCACTGTCCTGCCGTGCCCTGCCGTCCCGTCTGGCGCCCTGTCCGGTCTCTACCTCCCCTCGTTCTCTACGAACTTGGTGGCGGGTGCTGACCTACAGGATGCAGGGGTTGACCAGTTCACCCCTGCGCGCCGACGAGTCACCCACTGCACGGACGCGGACACGGGTCGACACCTGACCACATTCACACGTGGTCCAGGGTCGAGCCTGTACACACTCACTGTTCCGTCTCCTCCTCCTGCGTCTGGTCAGGTAGCTGCGTCGGGTCAGGTGTTTGCTGCAGCGTCCAGGTCTGGTCCTGAGTCTGCCCCCTGCTCGTGTCGCCTCCTGTCCCACGAGACCCTCCTGTGGCACCACAGGATGGGTCACCCCTCCCTGCCTCGTCTCCGGGGCATGGCCTCTCGCCTTCTTGTCTCTGGCCTTCCCCGGTCCCTCCCTCCCCTTCCTCCGGGGCCTGGCCCTCCCTGTGTCCCCTGTGTCGAGGGTCGCCTGCGGGCTACCCCTCACTCCTCCTCGTTTCCTCCGACGGAGGCCCCGATGCAGACGCTTCACATGGACGTGTGGGGCCCAGCCCGCGTCCGTGGACAGGGTCACGAGCGCTACTTCCTGTTGGTGGTTGACGACTACTCGCGTTACACCACAGTCTTCCCCTTGCGCAGCAAGGGTGAGGTCACTGAGGTGTTGATCGACTGGATCCGCGCAGCTCGTCTCCAGCTCAGGCGGAGCTTCGGCTCGGACTTTCCTGTTTTGCGTCTACACTCGGACAGAGGTGGAGAGTTCTCCTCCGGCCTTCTGCAAGCCTACTGTCGGGCACGAGGCATTCGCCAGACCTTCACGCTTCCGGACTCTCCACAGCAGAATGGGATTGCTGAGCGCCGCATCGGCATTGTCATGGACGTCGCCCGTACGTCCATGGTGCATGCGGCTGCCCCCCATTTTCTGTGGCCGTTTGCGGTTCGGTACGCCGCGCATCAGATCAACCTTCAGCCCAGGGTCTCCAGACCGGAGACCTCCCCAGCTTTGCTGTGGACGGGGAAGGTTGGCGATGCGTCGGCGTTCCGTGTCTGGGGATCTCGGGCGTTTGTCCGCGACTTGTCTGCGGACAAGCTGTCCCCTCGTGCTGCTCCCTGTGTCTTCCTTGGCTTCCCCCCTGACGCCCCAGGGTGGCAGTTCTACCACCCCTCCTCTCGTCGTGTCCTGTCCTCCCAGGACGTCACGTTCGACGAGTCAGTCCCCTTCTACCGCCTCTTCCCCTACCGCACTCCTTCCCTCCCCCCTCCACCGGACTTCCTTGTGCCGGTTCCCCCCCCGGTAGACCCCCTCCCCCCTCAGGTTCCTGCTCCCTCAGGTGTGTCCCTGGTAGACGCCGTTGACCCGGTCGAGGTTACTGGTGACTCTGGTGCTGCTGCGGGTGCTGGGCCTAGGGGTGCTGCCTCTGGGGGTGCTGTGCGCGGGGGTGCCGGGCCTGGAGGTGCTGCTACTGGGGGTGCTGAGCCTAGGGGTGCTGGGCCTGCGGGTGCTACTGCGGAGGGTGCTGAGCCTGGGGGTGCTGAGACTGGGGGTGCTGAGACTGGGGGTGCTGAGACTGGGGGTGCTGCGTCTGGAGCTGCTGAGCCTGGGGGTGCTGAGTCTGGAGCTGCTGAGCCTGGGGTTTCTCCTGCTGCTGCGTCTCGCCGGGAGCCCCTCTCTCCACAGGAGCTGCGCGAGTGGTTTGCTCGCCGCTGGAGGCGTGCTGCTGGAGCTGGAGCTTCTTCGACCGTCGAGGGTGCTGGTCCTGCCGGTCCCGGAGCTGCTGGGCCTGCGGGTCCTACTGGAGCTGGAGCCGCAGAGGGTGTTGGTGCTGAGACAGCTGCTGTCTGTCCTGGCGGTGGTTCTACTGCTGGTGCTGCTGGAGGTCCTGCTGCTGGAGGTGCTGGTGGCGCTGGTGCTGTCGCTGAGGGTGCTGGTGCTGTACCTGCTGAGTCTGGAGTTGCCGCGCGGCCTCGGCCGTACTTCGTTCCGCTCCTGCAGCAGGTTCTTGGTCTTTCTCCTTCGGTAGAGTGTCCACAGCCTGTCCAGTCGCAGTCCCTGTTGGAGCCTTCCTCTCCACTGCCTGCTCCCTCTCCTTACACTGGTCCTACTGGAGGTCTTGCTGAGCGTCGTGAGCCTGCGTCTCGTCCTGCGTCGCCTGTTCGTACTGCTCGCACTAGTGGTCGTGGTTCACGTCAGCGTCCTCCTCCTGTCCCTGGCACGCATCGGATGTCTCTGCGTCCGTCCAATGCTCCTCTGCGTGCCCCTTTGCCTTCTCCTCCTGAGTCCTCTCTTCCTGCGCCTGCCGACCCTGAGTCGGACTCTCTTCGTGCTGCCAGTCCTACTGTCACGCATCTCCTTGCTACTCTCGTCACTGACCCCTCGTTTGAGTCCACTGCTGCGTCTGCCCTTGTCGCTGAGCTCGTCGACTTTGCTGCTCGCTGTCGTCTAGACTACGCTGCTAGTCTTGTTGCTGAGTCAGCGTCTGACTGTCCTCCGTCCGTCGGGGGTGACTGTGCTCTTGGCACGGACGTCCTAGAGGACAGGCAGGAGGAGTTACAGTGTCTGGCGGCTGCTTCACCTCATCTCGCGTCTGTACTGCTTGCTCCTGAGGGAGACCCGGATGCACTAGACATCCCGGCTCCGCGCTCTTATGCGGAGGCCGTAGAGGGTCCCTACTCCTCTCAGTGGCAGGCAGCTATGGATGCAGAGATGGCTTCCTGGAAGTCCACAGGCACCTACGTTGACGCAGTTCCCCCTCCTGGGGCGAACATCGTCAGTGGCATGTGGATCTTCAGGGTGAAGCGGCCGCCAGGCTCTCCACCTGTCTTCAAGACGCGGTACGTTGCTCGTGGCTTCAGCCAGCGGCAGGGAGTTGACTACTTTCAGACCTTCTCTCCCACCCCGAAGATGACCACTCTTCGGGTGCTACTGCACATAGCCGCTCAGCGTGACTACGAGCTTCACTCTCTCGACTTCAGCACTGCGTTCCTGCAGGGTAGCCTGCACGAGGAGATCTGGCTGCGCCGTCCACCTGGCTTCACTGGGACTTTCCCTCCTGGCACCCAGTGGAGCCTCCGACGGCCAGTCTACGGTCTCCGCCAGGCACCGCGTGAGTGGCACGACACACTGAGGACTACGCTTGCGGCTCTTGGGTTTGCTCCTTCTACTGCTGACCCGTCGCTGTTTCTGCGCACCGACACTTCTCTGCCACCGTTCTACATCCTCGTGTACGTCGACGACTTGGTCTTTGCCACAGCGGACACTGCTGGACTCGCCTACGTGAAGTCCGAGCTGCTGAAGAGACACACGTGCACAGACCTGGGTGAACTGCGCAGCTACCTTGGCTTGCAGATCACTCGGGACAGAGCACGCCGCACCATTACCTTGACTCAGTCACACATGGTGCAGCAGGTCCTTCAGCGCTTCGGCTTCACGTACTCCTCGCCTCAGGCCACTCCTCTGTCTACTCGCCACTCGCTCTCAGCTCTGCCTTCGGATGAGTCCGTAGAGTCGAGTGGCCCGTATCCAGAGCTTGTTGGCTGCCTCATGTACCTGATGACCTGCACACGACCTGACCTTGCATACCCTCTGAGCATTCTTGCACGCTATGTTGCTCCTGGGAGACACCGACCAGAGCACATGGCTGCAGCGAAGAGGGTGTTGCGCTACCTGTGTAGTACGTCGGGCATGGGGCTAGTGCTTGGAGGGCGGAGTCCAGTGGTCCTTACAGGGCACGCGGACGCTTCTTGGGCTGACGACCAGGCTACGCAGCGGTCGTCACAGGGTTACACCTTCAGTCTTGGTTCCGGCTCTGTCTCGTGGCGGGCTACTCGCTCGTCTTCGGTTCTCAGCTCCAGTTGTGAGGCTGAGATCTACGCTGGGGCCATGGCTGCACAGGAGCTTCGCTGGCTCACCTACCTGCTGACTGACCTTGGAGAGCCGCCTCGTTCTCCTCCAGTGCTGTACGTAGACAACAAGGCCATGCTGGCCTTGTGTCGAGAGCAGCGTCTAGAGCACAGAACGAAGCACATTGCTCTTCGCTACTTCCTTGCTCGTGAGCTGCAGCAGCGTGGACAGTTGCGGCTTGCGTACGTGGCCTCTGAGGCCAACACTGCTGATGTGTTCACCAAGGCACTCGCGCCTTGTGACCATCACCGCCTCTGCACCCAGCTGGGTCTTGTGCCTGTCTTGCCTCACTTGCTCTCCTCTTGACTTTACTTGTACTGTGACATATATATACCTGCTCTTGCTTGTCTAGTTTTATATATATATGTCTGTACTCCTGCATGTGAACTGGCCTCTGGCCCTGCTCTTGTGCTCGGACTGTGTGGTGACTTTGTGATCCACCCTGAGCTTGCTCTGCTTTGCTTTACTTGACTGGTCTTGTGACCCCTTGTTCTCCCCCACTTTGCCTATGGGGGTGTGTCAGATTTATATGACATAGTTGCTGTAGGCTATAGTGGGGTAGCACATATGGGGTACAGGGTTTCTAGGGTTGTATTTGTACCCAATCTTTCCTTAGTCATTCTCATTCCTGTTCACTTGTTTCACAGGGAGCCCCCGATTTTCGCGTGGACCTCGCCTGCCCGTACGGGCAGGCCGCGATGGGTTACTAGGACCTCGCGGGCACGAGGGAGGGGTGGGCTGCCTTCGCGGCAGGGTTACTTTCCCTCGCCCGAGGTCTCGTTAGCTCGCCGCCCCCACCCGGTAACGTGGGTCGCTGTTCACTCTCGGGGGGGGGGGGGTTGCGGGGCGGCGGTCGTGCGCCCGGCCCAGCCCAGGGCCAGGCTGGCGGGCCCGCACGCGAGTCACTCGCCCGCCTCGTCAGACCCCTGTCCGTCGACCCCCCTCGTCGACCCTGGCAACTCGGGTCCGTCGACGTGATTCCGCTGGGATCTTCAGCCTTCGCCACGATACTATGCGACAGCTGTTTCCAAGGATATGGGAGGGCCGAACGACTCTGTGTGTGACAGAGCACTGCTCCAGCCCCACCACTGCTGCTGGCGCTTCTCTTGGGGTTGAAATCGTGGGCAACGCGAATCTCACGCGAGTGAGAGTAAGGCACTACACTGAACACTATTTTAACAAATTCTAATTTACTAAAATATCTGGATGCTTTTGAGACTTCACTTCAGAAAAACACAACATTTCAAGTGCTGATTAGGTGCAGAAAAGCATTGCAAGCAAATTGTGAATTAAAAAAATAATGAAATATCAAGAAACGCATTACCAATACATTTTGGGAACGCACTCTCTCAAGCTCAGATCCCTCAACTCATAAGGATCTCGGCCAGCCACATACGGTATCGACATGCCGTGCTGGTCCTTGCACCACTCTGCACTCCCCCGGCCCACAGCAGCGCAGACCTGACGTGCGCTGCCGCCATCATTTCTGCCAGCATGGTCTGCCCCCTCCCGCATCAATGCTCCGCGGCATCCTGCTGGGCAGCAGGGGAGGCTGAAGACAGTTTCAGGAGGAGGCTGCCTCACAGCTCCGCCAGCAAGCCTCAGGGCAGATCCACTCGAAGATCAGCTGGATGCGGTGCTTCGGTGGCCTGCCACGAGGAAGAGGGGGAGCAGAGGGGGAGGGAGTGGGGAGAGAGTGACGCTCATCACTAGTGCCAGGGGATCCAGTCATCGAAGAACTTCTGCATGCGCGTGCGTGTTGCTATGCACCGTGTAGAGAAGGGAAGGAGATGGGGGGAAGCAGGGAGCGGGATGGGGGGAAGCAGGGAGCGGGATGGGGGGAAGCAGGGAGCGGGATGGGGGGAAGCAGGGAGCGGGATGGGGGGGAGCAGGGAAGGGGATGGGGGGAAGCAGGGAAGGGGATGGGGAGAAGCAGGGAGCGGGATGGGGGGAAGCAGGGAAGGGGATGGGAGGAAGCAGGGAGCGGGATGGGGGGAAGCAAGGAAGGGGATGGGGAGAAGCCTGGCAGAGGGAGGGGGGAAGCAGGGTGAAGGGAGGGGGGAAGCTTGGCGGAGGGAGGGGGGAAGCAGGGCGAAGGGAGGGGGGAAGCAGGGCAGAGGGAGGGGGGAAGCAGGGCATAGGGAGGGGGGAAGCAGGGCGGTGGGAGGGGGGAATCAGGGAGGAGGGAGGGGGGAAGCGGGGAGGAAGGAGGGGGGAAGCAGGGAGGTGGGAGGGGAGAAGCAAGGAGGAGGGAGGGGGAAGCAGGCGGAGGGAGGGGGGAAGCAGGGTGGAGGGAGGGGGGAAGCAGGGTGGAGGGAGGGGGGAAGCAGGGCGAAGGGAGGGGGGAAGCTTGGCGAAGGGAGGGGGGAAGCTTGGCGGAGGGAGGGGGGAAGCAGGGCATAGGGAGGGGGAAGCAGGGCAGAGGGAGTGGGGAAGCAGGGCAGAGGGAGGGGGGAAGCAGGGCGCAGGGAGGGGGGAAGCCTGGCGGAGGGAGGGGGGAAGCAGGGCAGAGGGAGGGGGGAAGCAGGGCGCAGGGAGGGGGGAAGCCTGGCGGAGGGAGGGGGGAAGCAGGGCAGAGGGAGGGGGGAAGCAGGGCGCAGGGAGGGGGGAAGCCTGGCGGAGGGAGGGGGGAAGCAGGGCAGAGGGAGGGGGGAAGCAGGGCAGAGGGAGGGGGGAAGCAGGGCAGAGGGAGTGGGGAAGCCTGGCGGAGGGAGGGGGGAAGCAGGGCGAAGGGAGGGGGGAAGCTTGGCGGAGGGAGGGGGGAAGCAGGGCATAGGGAGGGGGGAAGCAGGGCGGTGGGAGGGGGAAAGCAGGGAGGAGGGAGGGGGGAAGCAGGGCATAGGGAGGGGGGAAGCAGGGCGGTGGGAGGGGGAAAGCAGGGCGGAAGGAGGGGGGAAGCAGGGCATAGAGAGGGGGGAAGCCTGGCGGAGGGAGGGGGAAGCAGGGCAGAGGGAGGGGGAAAGCAGGGCAGAGGGAGGGGGGAAGCAGGGCGCAGGCAAAGGATAAGGGATTGCGGGGTAAACAGAGCTGGTGTATGAGAAATGGAGGTCGGTCAAATAAAAAGGGGTGTAAACACTCCGGGAAAATTGAGGTCGATGGGGAGAGGGAGTGAGGGAAGAACCCGCTCTCACCCATCGTCTCCCACTCTCTGCCCTCCCCCCTCTGTTCCTCCCCCTCCATCCTCCCCCTTCTATCTTTCCCCCTCGGCCCTTCACGAGGGGAAGCGCGCGAGACCAGGGAGGATAGCGCGTATCAAGGGGAAACGCGCGTGACGGGAAGGCGCGGGCGCGAGTGGCGGAAATGTGCGCAACGAAGCGATACGCGCGAGACGAGGGGAAACGCGCGAGACGAGGGGGAAACGCGAGTGACGAGGGGAAACGCGCGTGACGAGGGGTAACGCGCGTGCCGAAGGGAAACGCGCGTGACGGAATGAAACGCACGTGACGAAGGGAAACGCGGGTGACGAATGGAAACGCATGACGAGGGGAGGCATTCTATCCCGGGAAGGCGCTAGTGACGAGGAGGAGCGCGACTGGCGAGGGGGAGCGCGGGTGACGACTCGAGCTAGACGTGGGGTAGAATGGTGTCGCACTCGTTTGGCTCATACGTTCCGTGTGAGTGTGGCGACAACGTTTGTAAAAATCTACAGCGATTCTAGGTTTGTGCTGGCTATTGACGAGACAACATGAGTGACGAGAGTTGCCGTAAAAATCGCGGTCACGTGGTACTAGCTGATGACACACTCGCTTTCTACTTACGTGAGAGCCTAGGCTGGTCATGAGTACTACTAGGCGATCAAGATATGTGTGAGCCAAACAGCGGGCCAACGTGAGCGACGCTCGGTTATGTTTTGCGATCGTGGACATCAGCCAATTAGGAGAGAGTGTCGCTAGGCGTTGTCCCAGAGTAGCGAGAGTTCTGAGCAAAAAAGTAGGGTAACCCTATTTTTGACGATTTCAAATTCAAGAATCTCGAACTTGAAACTAACCATGCTGTACCCGGGCTATAAGTCAGCTTGCAGCAATGTTGCACTTCTGCAAAGCATTGGAAGAACAGATACGGTAGTGATTTTGTAAGGTTCTAGCAAACGAGACAGATACCGCATTTCTGTAGATTTGCAATGTCAGGTCTTGAGCTGCATGCTGTAGGAAATGACGTTATCATGTAACGTAGGTCGTGATTGTGCTCGCGAAGGTTGCTAACGACTAAGTTGTTTTGAGTTTCTGCAAACCAAATGAAAATTGGACGGTGATTCCCCACCCATTAACGGGTACGGTCCCGGTTGTTGTCTCGTTTGTTGGGCTAAACGCCCTAGGATCTTTGGTAGAGTTAAAGTCTGAGTAAAGTGATGTAGTAGCGGAAGCGTTTTGAGTAAAGTCCTTGAACCACCTTGCGCTGGTATGTGAGGGCAAAGTAAGTTGTTTAAAGCAAAGAGATACAAGATTATATATGAATACAGAGAATATGAAGAGACATAATTATAACTACTTTACTGTTGCGGTTCGATACAGTGCGACTCGGGCAACTGCTCAATGTCGAGTCAGTTGTGTGTCCTTACTGTCGCGCTGCATTTGTTAGGTCAAAGGTCGCTGACCTTTGACTTTCGTGTAACCTCCAGAGGTTACACCAACCTCCGAGGGTTGACTCGCTGGTGTTTCGATATGCGCTGGTTCGCTTGTGTCTTGGTGTTTCGACACGACAGAGGCGCTTAGGACTGTTTGTTCCCAACATCGTTTAGGGCAACACGTCCGCATGTCAACACAAATAAAGGGAGTTCGTTACGACTTGTGTTGCTGTCCGATGTTCGCGAATCTTCTGAACATGAAATAATGTGGCGGAAACGGTTTGATAAATTGAGCGGTGCAGGACGGTTCCACTGACAATCCAGGATTGTCAGTTCCGAGGGATTGCAGTATGCAACTGAGGACGCGTCACCTGCCTCGATCAATCCGGCTCAGGTTCGATTTCTGATTCAGTTCAAAAAGTTTTCAAACAAATTTAAATGCAATACGCGGATTTTAGTACGGTGGACGATCGATCTTCCTCGATTTTGCACGATCGATCGAGGGAGGTGATGCGTCCTGATCCTCCCTTTGTCCACTTCTTGTGGGTTGTCCGGCCTAGCTTCTAATTTTTGTCTGGTCTAGCTTGTTGGCGGTGTTAGCTTACAGAAGGTGGATGAATAGCCATAAGCCTCTTGTTAGTCCCTCGTTAAAATTGGCAATTGAATGAGAAAGTTAGAACGAGAATGAAATGACTAAGTGAAAGTTGGGTACAAATACAACCCTAGAAAGCTGTACCCCATATGTGCTACCCCACTATAGCCTACAACAGCTATGTCATACAAATATGACACACCCCCATAGGCAAAGTGGGGGAGAACAAGGGGTCACAAGACCAGTCAAGCAAAGCAAAGCAAAGCTCAGGGTGGATCACAAAGTCACCACACATTCCGAGCACAAGTTCAAGGCCAGACGGCCAGTTCACATGCAGGAGCACACATATATATATAAAAGGCTAAACAAGCAAGAGCAGGAGTATATATATGTGACAGTACAAGCAAGGTCAAGAAGTGAGCAAGTGAGGCAAGACAGGCACAAGGCCAAGCTGAGTACAGAAGCGCTGATGATCACAAGGCGCAAGAGCCTTAGTGAAGATATCAGCAGTGTTGGCCTCAGAAGCCACGTACGCAAGTCGCAACTGACCACGCTGCTGCAGCTCACGAGCAAGAAAGTAGCGGAGAGCAATGTGCTTCGTTCTGTGCTCCAGGCGCTGCTCCCGACACAAGGCCAGCATGGCCTTGTTGTCTACGTACAGCACTGGAGGAGAACGAGGCGGCTCTCCGAGGTCAGTCAGCAGGTAGGTGAGCCAGCGTAGCTCCTGAGCAGCCATGGCTCCGGCGTAGATCTCAGCCTCACAACTGGAGCCGAGAACAGAAGACGAGCGAGTAGCCCGCCACGAAATAGAGCCAGAACCAAGGCTGAAGGTGTAACCCTGTGACGACCGCTGTGTAGCCTGGTCGTCAGCCCAAGAAGCGTCTGCGTGCCCGGTGAGGACCACTGGACTCTGCCCTCCGAGCACTAGCCCCATGCCCGACGTACTGCACAAGTAGCGCAACACCCTCTTCGCTGCAGCCATGTGCTCTGGTCTGTGTCTCCCAGGAGCAACATAGCGTGCAAGAATGCTAAGAGGGTATGCAAGGTCAGGTCGTGTGCAGGTCATCAGGTACATGAGGCAGCCAACAAGCTCTGGGTACGGGCCACTCGACTCTACGGACTCATCCGAAGGCAGAGCTGAGAGCGAGTGGCGAGTAGACAGAGGAGTGGCCTGAGGCGAGGAGTACGTGAAGCCGAAGCGCTGAAGAACCTGCTGCACCATGTGTGACTGAGTCAGGGTAATGGTGCGCTATGCTCTGTCCCGGGTGATCTGCAAGCCAAGGTGTCAGAACATTATAGCTTATATATATTTGTGTAGGCTATAGTGGGGTATCCCATAGGGGGTACAACACAATCAGGGTTTCCTATATGTACTCACTTCATTCATAGTTGATCCATTCTCGTTCACTTCTTCTCATGGTATCGAGCAGGTTCCCCTGTGGGAACTGTGCTTAGGGCCCACCACTACTTCGAACTTTTTTTTCTGCCCGGAGCGCACTCCGGGCTCTCTCCTACTCTGTCGACTGGCCTTTAGCCGCCCGCGCGCTGCCCGTTCAGGCCTCACGTCGCCAGCGCGCCGCCCTAGACGCTAGCGCGCCGCCCGTCCAGGCCCTATGCAGCCCGCGCGCCGCCCTTTGCAGCTCGCGCACCGCCCTTAGCAGCCCGCGCGCCGCCCTTAGCAGCCCGCGCGCCACCCTAAGCGGCCCGCGCGCCGCCCTAATCAGCCCGCGCGCCGCTCGCTAGGCCCCAGGCAGCCCACGCGCCGTCCGCGCGTCGCCCTTAGCCGCCCGACGAGCCGCCCGTGAGCCGCCCGTGGGCCGCCCGTCAGCCGCCCGTGAGCCGTCAGTGCGCCGCCCGACGCGCCGCCCGTGCGCCGCCCTCGGCTGCCCGTGAGCTGCACCGCCCGTGCAGCCGCTCGTGCAGCCGCCCGTGCAGCCGCCCGTGCAGCCGCCCGTCAAGCCGCCCGTGCAGCCGCCCGTTGTGCTGCCCGTGAGCCGCCAGTGCCGCCCGTGCAACCGCCCGTACAGCCGCCCGTGAGCCGCCCGTGAGCCGCCCGTGAGCAGCCCGTCACGACGCCCGCGCCGCCCGTGTCACCCGCGTCACCCGAGCCGCGCGCGCTGCCCGAACAGCAGAGCCGCCCGAGTCGCCCGTGCCGCTGAACGCCCGAGCCGCCCAAGCCGCCCGAGCCGCCCTAGCCGCCCGAGCCGCCCGAGCCGCCCGAGCCGCCCAAGCCGCCCGAGCCGCCCGAGCCGCCTACGGTGCCGAGCGCCGGGTCCTGTGGGGCTGCTGCTACTCCTGGGCCGGCGGAGTTGCTGAGCTGCCGTGTTGCTGTTCTACTGAGCTGCTCGACCCTTCCTCTCTGGTGAGACTGTCGGCTGCTATCATGGCCACCCCTAGTGTCCTGGCCTTTGACGTTGAGGGTCGCGCCACTTGACTTTGCGGTCTGGGTCGTCGACCTGCAGTTGTACTTGCAGTGCGATTCAGTAGACGACATCTCTCTCTTTGACTTTGCCTCTGGCGCTGTCCCTGCCCCTCCTGCTGATGCTGACCCCACTGTTCGCTCCAAGTGGGCCACACGCGATGCTGCTGCACGTCTTGCTGTGCGTCGCCACCTCCCTTCCTCTGAGCGTGCACACTTTAGTCCGTGCAAGACCGCTCAGGCCTTGTACGACGCTGTAGTTGCGCGCTACTCCTCCCCTTCCACTGCTACACTGAGCCGCCTCATGCTACCTTACCTCTTCCCTGACCTTGCTGCCTTTCCTACAGTCGCTGACCTCTTTACCCACCTGCGCGCTAGTGACACTCGCTACCGAGCTGCGCTTCCAGCTGCCTTCTGCGCCGAAAACCCCCCTCCCATGTACATCACCCTCTACTTTCTAGTCACCCGTCTCCCTGAGTCCCTTCGTGCTGTTAGGGACCAGTTTCTCTCTGTCTGTCCCACCACCCTCACTGTCGACCCCCTCGAGAAGTCCCTACTAG